ACATTCACATTTCTCTCCTTGCTACATGTGCAGATGTCACCTTTGTATCGTCCAGTAGGGAGTCGGGTTCAGGACCCCGCAGCAAAATTATTGCTGTCTGGCTACTGCTGTTGGTCTTAGTAATAATTGCCTTCTGTCTCAGAAGTTTCATGTCTTCTGCTGGCAGTCACAGAGATGTAGCAGCATAACTCTTCAGCTTGCAAGCATAATACAATTTTTGAGTTTTGAGCTCTTAACTCGTTGTATCACTTACTGGATGTGCGACTTTGACAAAGTACTTCGTCTTCCTGACACTCAATTTCCAATTTAGGCAATGGAGTAAATAATAATACTGGCCCCAGGGAGTTGTTGAGTGGATTAAATGGGGCGTTGCACAAAGTGGAACAATGCTTATATCCAGTAAGTAGGCAGGAAAGCTTAGCTATTTTTTCTGTAATTGGCTTTACCATCACAAATAAGGTGATGTAATCTAAAATTAAGAAAACGCATAGAGAGCAAAACATTTTGCAAAAGTTGTTATTTATAGAAAAATCACTTTGTATTATTGAGCACACACTTTATTTGAAATTAAAAGGTCACATTTGGGAAGAAATAATGCTGCACAAAGCTACCGTTTGTTTTGCTTATATTGTAACACAACTTGAGGTAAAGAATCCAACTTTTGTTCTCTAACATTCCAAGAAAGGAGTGGCAAAACTTTTAACCTCCACCCATGTTACTTCTACATATCTGTTTGGAAAATCTTTAGTAAAGAAATCTACATTTTTGTATAAAATAGTCACCTCAGACCCCCAGGTTAATTATAGGATTTATTGAAACTATAGTTTTTCTATTATAGGTGTTGCATTAAGAAAAATGCTTTGCCCTTTTTTAATATTTTAAAATACACAATGATCTAAAAGATTATTTTAACATGTCTTCTCTTTAGATATATATATATCTCCAAGTATAATTACTTTCTTCAGTTTAAAAATAAATAGTGGTGTAATGAAGTGTATGAAATACAAATTGAATAGTAAACTATGCATGTTATTTTTGCTTTCTGCTGAAAATTATAATTTTTTCTGAAATGAAAACTGCATCTTGGAAAAGAAACTCAAGGATATGAAAGTAAATTCAGTCTTATAAAGAAGATATTTTTATTCTCTTAGGAAAATAGCAATTGTATCTGGCATAAATGGCTGATTTAAAACATCTGGAGGGGGCTGGGATTTAGTTCAGAGGCACAGTGCCTGTCTGGCAAGCTCAACGTTGTGAGTTCGATTCCGGGTACTGGAAAAAAATAAATAAATAAAATAAAATATCTGGCTATTTAATCAGTTTTGCCTCCTGTTGAATCTCCTTTTACTTTCTACTATATTACTCTACTTTATTTTTTCATACCACTTATTATCCTCTCATTCATTTGTATGTTCACATGTGTGTATTCTGTTTGTGACCTGGTCCACACTACGTAAGAAGCTTTGTCCTCGTTAAAGCTTTCGCATCACCAAAAGGAGTGGGTGGCCAAGAGAAGACATTCCTTTAGCATTTACTCTCTGGACATATAGAAAATGACTAACATGTGAAAGAAATGAATATAAAGGTCAGAACAATTTTGGCAAAAGTTCTCAATGGTGAAAAATTATGCACTATTCCTTCTTTTATTCTCATAGAATTTTTTTTACATCAGTAATGATTTTCATTGTATAGATAGTTTCAATAATTATTGAAATATATATAAGTGCTCCAAATAAACAATTTTCTCACCAGTTCACGTAGCTAGCTTACAAGATTCCATAAGCAAAGCTGTTAGGATTTGACACATATAGGGAGTTTTCAGTAAATCTCATGGAGAAAAATAAATCAAAGAAAGAAAGAAAATTGCTCCTGTGTGGGAAATGCTGAATTGTTTTCTTTATGGAAAGAATGTGAACATACCTGAAGATGTCCATGGTATTGATGTATTAATTACAAGTATAGCCTTATCCTTCAAGCTTTGCAAATTTACCAAAGACTTAGAAATTTTCCCTATGTTAAAAATTTATTTGTCAAAATAAGCATTGTGTCTCACTCTTGAGCTTAGATGACAGACCTTCTAGTTAAATAAGTTAAAAGAAATAGAGTCTAATTTTTCTGAATTTTTCAAGAATCACAAGTTGTCATTTGGCAACATAAACTTTTTTTTTGAGACAGAGGAAAAGCACCTGATGAACACTCTTCCTTGTGCTGGCTGGAGGATGCAGGATCATCGGCCTGTGACCAGCTTGCGCATCTTCCCAGCTTACCTTTGCTCCCAGCGTACCCCTAGGGACTGAGACCGTTTGCTTCAGTGTTGTGCCTGGCTCTCAAATGCCATTTTCCAGCCTAACATGAGTTCAACCCATGCAACCTCAGGCAATGGGCTGCCCCTCCCCTACTCCAGCCCTGTTAAGACTCCGCTGTTGCCTTTCTCAAGAATGGTGGTTAAAATTAAGGGACAGCGCTGGGGCCCTCACTTACATACCAGCATTCATAGAAAGCTTTCAGCCCTGCCTGGCAGTGAGCTCGTCCTGCAAGCTGCTACACATGCATCACTCCCTGCCCACTTCTGAGTTTCAGTCTAGCAGGGTGCCCTTCTGGGTACACAGCCCCTCAGGCTGCACACAGGTCCTGTTAAAATACAGACTTACTTGGGGTTCCCCTAAAGCTCTTGATTTATTTTCTAGTAGTGTGGGCTCCAAAACTCCTGTAAGGTTTGTTTGTTTATTTGTTTGTTTTTATACCAAGTAGTGTGGTTGGAGCTGTTGGTTTCCAAAGAAAGATGAATATACATTCAGAGTTGTTAACCCCAAAGAGCTCCAGAGACCAGCAGTCAAGACAGATCAACAACAGAGACCAGTGCCCAGCAGCTGGCTGTGTCAGATGCAGGCATCTAGCGTGACCTGGTGTCATCTGCTGACATCAAGACTGTGCGAGCTGCATTCTGCCAATTGGAGATTTCCATCCGAATGCAGCAGAAGAACCCTAGCCTGAATGGTAGCATTTCACCATGCTAATCTTGCACTGTGATGTATATTATTGTTCTGCTTAATGGAAAGAAAATAAAATAAACTAGAAAAAAGTCAACAAGATGTCTCTTGCAGAGAAATATCAAAATACTGAATATAATCCACTCCTAAAAATCTGGAAAATGTTCTTCTAACTCTCATGCAGTGTGTGCCAGGCTGTTCAGTGGATATTAGAGTGGACTTCTGTCCCTCTGATGGGATGCAAAGAGCTGAAACTGTCACTGGTCAGAAACTATTGTCAAAGATAGGGTTACTAGCTAGGATATTCAGTCACCGCGTAGGAACCAACATTCTCTTTTAGAGAAACCAAGATCCATGTGTAAGACTTTGGTTCCTCTTGAAAGTGTCTGGATTGAAATTAGAATACTCCAAAAGTGCCCACTTAGCAAGAATGTGCAGTCCACTGTCTTTCTTAAAACTGTTAGGGAGAAAAGTAGGTAGACAGCCTCTGCCCCTACAGTCGAAGGCAAAACTTTAACTTGCAGTAGATCCTCCTCGGGAATGTTAAATCACGGTGGATTTGTGCAGTTTTAATCAGTAAGCTATAAAAAAAGACAAAAGCTAGGGTATTTTTCATTTCAGCAGTTCATTTGCCATTCGTGAGGAATGTACTTATTATTAAGGATTTGATTTAAAGTACAGCTGAGCTGAATAATCTTCTGAAACCCTCATTCCCTTTCAAGTACTTATAGGAGAGATCACCATTCATCACCATTCATGATACAAATAATTTTAATCTTTCTCTGTCTTCGTATTCCTTCTGATTCATTCTGCAACCATGTCTTGGACTGATCCTCCTAAAATAGCACTTCAATTCATTTTTTTTGCTCCAAGCGTTCTTGTATTTTACTCAAATCCTGATCCAAATCCCCTCACCTCATATTCAAGGCCTTTCCTCTGACCACATTTCACCTTCTATAACTCCCCATCACAGTCACCAGCAGACAAAACTCATAGTAGTGATCCATTAGGGTTACCTGTATTCTCTTTCTGAAGTCTTTTTATTTAGTAGCATTTCTGGGTGCACAAGTGCCCTTCTTTCCTCCTTTAATGCTCCTCATTTAGGCCCAAACTTTGCTTCTGCCCAAGGAGTTTTCTGAGCCCACTCATGTGAAACTATCTCTTCTTGCCTGTGGATTTCCATTACATGGGCAGTCTCCATTAATCACACAGTGTACGCATTTCTTTAGGATAACTTTGATCTTGTTAATTTAATGTTGAAATGCCTCTACATTTTTCATGAGCTTATATTATCTCCCAAGGCAGATTACAAATTCTGTGAAGGCCATAGCTGTTTCCTAAAATTCCTTTTATCTCCAGTGATAGCTAGTAAAATGTCCAGCATACAACAAGCGAAAAACTAATCTTCTCTAATGTATGAATTTTTAAAATATTCAAGAATGAATTTGATCTTACATATGAGGAAGCTGAGCTTAGAATCAGTTCTTAATATTTCTCAAGATGATTTGTTTGTTTGATGTTTAGAGAACTTTTCCACTTATACCAGTTTTATTCTTTTACTATCTGATTGGTTGCTGTTAAGTCTAATAATTTATGAAGTGTACTGACAAATACAGAACATATGCATGAGATATTTACATGCATATAATTTCACATATGCTTGCATACATTAAAATAGGCATAAGTAACTGAAGTTTATTTGGGTATCTTTCTATTTTAAGGGCAAAACTAGAAAACTCCATTTCATTGGTTTTTAGCCTAAAAAACAACAAGGATTGTGATGACAATAGGGATGCTGGTATTTTTTTGGCAGTGAAGAATTTAATATAATAGTGTCCAAAAAAACATGGAAAGATAATATATTACGGAACACACAAAATAAACAAATACTTTCAAATGAGCAAGAAGAACTTGGAATCTGGATAACGTCACTCTGCTATACATTGCATTTATTTTGCAAAGGACTTTATCCTGGGCAGTTTGATGTTAATGCCACACAGGGACACTTACCATCTTTCAGAATGGTTTCTCGCTCTGTGCCATCTATCTTCTGCCGGCCAATTAGGAAACTGGTGGTGTCGGCGAAGTAGATGTAATTGGTTTCTGCATGAAAATCTACAGCACGAGGGTTTACCAGATTTTCTATGGGAATCATGTATTCATCAGCTATCTTGGTATTTAAGTCCATTCCTCTAACGATTCCTGGGCGTCCTTTCCCATAAAAGAGGAACAACTCATTCTTTGGTCCTGCAGAAGAAAGATTACAAATATAAACAATGGATGTTGCCTAATCTTCTTTACACTGTATAATGGCATTGTTTAATTAACTGGCACAATTAGTGTTTTTAATTCTGTACTAAAAATTAAACTCTAAAATATGCCAAATATATCTTGATGTAAGAAGGCCAGCTAATTGTGTTACTTTAATTAAAACAGAAATTACTTCTGTGAGTGGGTGTTTTTAGTTAATTATTCTTTTGTCTGTCACTGTCTTTAAAGCAAAATATGACACATCTCTGAATAATTTGTAACTTGTGAAACGGACATTTAGTAAAACATCCAGTGCATTTAATTTTATATTGCATTGCAATCTATACAGCACTTTCTATATATGCTATACTAATCATCTCACTCTTCTAGGTGGCCATGATAAGAACTTCAGGTCATTTAAAATATAACACTGCAGATTTCATCTACACAGATGAAATCTAAACAAGATTTCATCTTGTTTGTCACAGGCAAACAAGATCTACGTGGTACTCTTACTCGCTTGCATGTAAATATATTGCAATTGCCTCTTAGGAAATAAAATCAATGTCAATTAATAGCATCACTTTTCCTTCACATCTTAATTAGAATGTTACAGGCTGATGCTGTCTGCTAGCAACTTTGATATAAACAACAGACCGTATCAAAGTCAACCAAAAAATGAAAAACAAATCCTTAAACAAAAAGCAGCCTCCGGAATATATACTGTCAGAATCAATGTGGCTTTTTTTTTAATAGAATGAATTAATTCATTTAAATTGCCAGGTTATACCAGCCTCTTCAATTACAAACATACCTTGTGCTTTTGTATTCTTTGTAACTGAAAGCACTAATACATGCTATGAAAAGATAAACATACTTTTTTTATAAAAAGAAAATTGAGTATACAAAAGACAACCATACGTGTATAGATTTTTTTTTTTTTTTGTACCAGGAATCAAACTCAGGACCTTAAGCTTGCCAGGCAGGCACTTGTGCCACTGAGCTATATCCCCAGCCCTGAGCTATACCCCTGGCCCAATACAGCCATATGTGGAAAATCACATAATAACTGAAGTAAAATAAGTATAGGAAATCTGGGTACTAAAAATAATAAGCAATTATTAATAAAGCTAATTATTTCAATCTAAATTGTTAGCATTTCACATATTTCTTGTATTTTGTTGTCTTTCAAAATTAGTCTTATGGATGCTGAATATATAAAAGGATATTTACAACATATTTTAATCTTTAATTAATAAAAGAAAATGAATCCCAAGCACCCAACACAGATGTTAATATTGCTAGTACATTGGAAGTTAAGCATGTATCCTGCACGTAAGACCTTCTGTGTCAAAAATATTTAAATCCTGAATATACTGTCTATCAGATACTTCAAGAAAAATTTTAATATATATATGTTATATTTCCCAATATTAAATTAATTTTACATGCTCAAATTGCATGTGTGAATTTTATAAAACAGATTTTATTTTCATTATACTCTTGATATTCATCCACTGTTGTTGTAATCACAGTTCATTCATTTTCTGTGCTATATAATATTCTTTTGTGTGGCTAATTCAGTTTTCATTTTTCTGGCAATTTTTCTAAAATAGCTTTACTTGTATCAAAAAAGCATTCATTATTATTTACTCACTTTATTATTTCAAAAACTTTATTTCAAACACTTTATTATTCAATCATAGTATCACAATTATTTCCTATGTTGATTTATTTTATGCCTTATAATGACCTTGTTTGACAAAATTTACCAAGCAATTTTCCAGTTGGTTTCTCTTTTCATGCTTATACTAATATTGAATTAAGAATATATTTTTTCCATCTAGCCTGTCATAGATTTTCTTAGATGGAGTTACAGGTTAAATATACTAATATACTTCTTGCTACCCTTTCAGCCTCTTGGTGACCTGTCTGATATCAAAGATATCTTATTCAAAACAATAGATTAGATTAGTAACATTGGTTCATTTGGAAATTTTTTCCCATTTCTTTAGTATTTTTTTCAAATATTATATCCATATATAATATTGTTTTTATATAACTCATATATTCATTTTTAAATTTAATAATATCTGACTAAGTCATTAAAACATCTTCAAAAGCATTACTGCCAGTATAATATTCTCTACCAGTAAGGCAATATAATATAGTATATTGCCTACCTGCCACTGAATATTTCTAAAGGTTTATTAATAATGATTTTAGAATAGTGTTCTTCAGTCAAAAGAAGAGTGATGCATCAAACAATATTACTTGTTTTATTGTTTTTGTATGTATTATGAAACATCTTTTCAATAGTTATATCAATTTCTAGTTCACTTAACAATGTGCAGAAATGATGCCGTCACCTTACCCATTCTTGCTAACATTTTATTTATTTTTTTTTTATTTCCAAAGGATGTTTCACTGCTCATTGGTAAGCCTAGTATTTCATCAAGTTAGCATATGTGTATATACATGAAGGTATGTTTGTTTTGAATAAGAATGGCAACTCTTTTCTTCATTGTTTCTTCTATTCATAGTTTCAGGCATTCTTCAAAATTTACCTGAAAGTTACTTTTTGTATTATACGAAATTGAAAAATGACATTTCACAGCCTCTTAAAAGCCAGGGTTCTAATTTTGCATTAAACAACTGAAGTCAAATGTATTTGCTGCAGTCTAACTTCACCTGACTAAGTTTCATGTTAATATTGATATCGATGTAGCTAATTAATACTAAAAATCCTGTTCGGAAGAGGTAGCTGTCGGCGAAATGTTTATTTTCACAACATACTTTTGCATGACCTGCCATCACTCCCCAAGTTGAAGCCAGTCCTGCAGCGACAAGTCCGCGTTTTGTAACTGCCACTGAGCAGACAGATGTGTGAACAGCCTCCTGGCATTCCATATGGATCCACTTCACATGCATGGCTTCTGACTGCAACAAATAAAAAACAGCGCACTTGAGATTCTCCAAAGACGAGACAAGTATTTGCATCAGTATGTTAAAATTTTTATAGAGTAAGAACAGCGAATCTTAGCAAAACTCCATATAGCCAATTACTTAGGACCCTAATCAAGGGGAAAAAGTTTACACTCTGTAGAAGAGGAAGTAAGCATTTGTCAAAATCCTCCTAAGGTTAGCTTTTAAAAATATAATTCTGAGGAATTAAAATGCATTTATATTAATTTAAGCTCCTCACATATAAGCAGAAACGTAACATGGTTTTTCTGGTACTTTTCTAAATGCCAATTGCTGAAAAGTATTTCAAAAAGAAACTTACATAAAAATAACCCCAGATTATGTAGTTGAGCAAAGAAAGGATTTTCTTTCCAACAGTTCATCATACAAGCACCTCAATTTGATAAAATATGATCCCATCATTATTGACACTCTGTTAGGAAAGGCTGAACCACGGATATATTTCAGTGGCATAAGTGCCTGCCTGGCAGGTGTAAGGTCTGAGTTCAATTCCCAGTACCAGTTCGATTCCCAGTACCAAAGAAAAAAGGCTGAGGCTGAGTATTTTTTATTTTTGTAATTTTGGGTCCTTTGTCATCTTTGAAAACCCTATTACAAAATGCAATGTTAGGGTGTGTGTATGTGTGTGACTATAATTGTGAAAATGTGAACAGTAAATTTACATGAGGAAATGGAGGAGTAGAAACACGTTCATTTATATTCAAGTGTTAATAAAGAGAAAAAACTTGGAAAAGTGTCGTATGAGGAGGATAAAAAAGTCAAAAAATGGGTCAAAGGGGGAAAAATGGTAGGAATAATTTCAATGAGATTCTATGCATTATTGTTATTGTTCTTCTTTTCTATCAATATTTAGAAGAAATCATGATGAGCACCAAGACAAGATCCTTACAATAAAACAGGTCTGCTTTTGCAAATAGCTCCTATTCACTTTTTATTCCCCATTTTAAGTGACAAAAATAAGTAAAATACATTTTTAACTATTTTTCCCTGACAAGAGCACTGCTTTTATGTTTTTGAATCTCATTCATGCTAGACCACATCCCTCGAGAAATCCACAGTGCTCCCTCTGGCTTGCATCTCACTCTTGCCCTCCCCAGGGGATCACGCCCATCGACTCCCAAATGTGTCATTACTTCCGCTTCTTGAAAAAAAAAGAAAACCTTTTAACCCAGCTCTACTCCACCTTTAAGTCACACTTTTAAAGTTCTCTATGATTCTTTTCTACAACCTTTTCTTTCATGTCTCTCTTAAACTCATCCTACTCAGATATTCACTTCACAGTCAAAACCACCCTATCAGACCCCAGTGAGCTTCATGACGGTGACTCCAAAGCTCAAGTGGATTTAACAAGCTTTTTATCAACTCCATTTCTGGTCCCACCTATTCTTCCTGTCTTATTGTTGAAGAAGTCTAGTGTCCATTCCTTAGAACTCCTTTCGATGTATATATATTTATTTGGTGTTCACATGCACTGTCATGACTTTACATGATGTGCCAATAACTGTCAAGCAGGCATCCCCAACCTGGACTTTCATTCTGAATTGGAGTACAGTCTTCTATATTCAAATAGCTCTCATATATTACCACTTGGATTTGCAGTGGACATAGGAAATAACCCAATAACGTTGAACTTGCTTTTGCCACAAATTGGAGCCATATTGCAATTAGTTTCCTTAATCTCAAAAATAACTCATTGCCAATTGTTCTAGCCTAACCATTGCTCTGATTTCTTTTTATTTATACCCTGCCTTCAATGTATCTGAAAACCCTATGGGCTCTAACTTTATCTCTATCCTGAATTTACCTGTTCTCAGTATTTTCACTATTTTGGGACAAACTACCATACTCTAATCTTCCCACCTTCGTCCTTCATAGCCTCTTGTCAGTGTAGTAGCTGTAGTGACTCATAAAAAATGTCAGTCAGACCGTGAGACTCCTCTGTTAACGCCCAGAAGTCCCATCTCAAATGCATAAGTGAAAGTTTTTACAATAGTTTACTGTGCTCTATTTCTTTTGGCCTTCTGCTCCTTCAATTTTATTTCTCCTTCCTTATTCACAGGCTACCTTGCTGCTCCTTTGATGGTTTAGGTGTGTTTTTCTCATTGCTTTTGTGCATGCTTAGCCTTCTACCTATGACATTGTGGCCCCAGATATCTCCGCACACTCTTTGTCAAATCCTCACTTGATGCCTTCTTTTCAATGAGGCTTCCTCTGATTATTCAATAGAAAATTACAATCTTCCCCAATTCCAGAAATTCCTTATCTTTTCATTTATTTTCTCCATAGCACTTACTGACATGCAATGTAATATATAAATCATCTAGTTATTTTTAATATATCTTCTCCATTGGTGTGTAAGGCTTATAAAGACCAAAATATTTTGTTCAGTTTTATTTCCTGCTGTATTCTTAGTGTATACTGAATAGTTCCTGGCATGTAGAAGATGGTCCATGAATAATTAATAAATGAGGAAATCCTCATACCAAAGTTTCATATGGTTATGAAGAAAATTCAAAATTGAACTGGCTGTGACTTAGTTGTGACAATGTATAACTCCTTATTGAATATATGGTAGCATTTAGATAATTCTAGGTTAGTTTTCATTGGAAGCAGAGCTATATAAAGATGATGAAAATTTGGGGTGGTGGTTCTGATGCCATATTATTCTGTCTTTGACTGAGTCTAAATGGACGACTTCACACCATGATTAACCTACCGCTGAAAACTGGTTTGTGTTTTTCAGAAACATTTAAAATGATAAAGGTGCTAAGAAGACAACTGAGATGTTAAATCTAAAGAGACAAGTGACTACAGTGCATGTTAGATAAATATTGCAAGGAAGTCACCTGATTGGAAATTTGTCTCTCAAATTGATACCAAAAGTAAAACAGCAATCTTAACATCTGGCATCTTGTCTACATACATCACAATTGAAAGCTCCTCCTTGAGCCTCTATTTAGATGTCATTTTCATTCTATGGTTGTAGAAATGATTCACTAGGAACTGAACAATTTGTCATTTAGACTTGTGAAAGGAGCTCTTTTCCATTTTATCAAGCAGACATGCTCATTTTTGTGTCAAAATGGAATTTATGACTAACCCACTTTAACACCACAGGAATGCACAAGGACTGTATCCCCATTCAGTCTACTATTATAAAGGTTATGAAGAAGTCTTACAACTCACCTGCTGGCTGAGTTCTTTTTTGATATATTCGAGCTCCTCGAGGTCTTTCCATTTTAATTAATGAATGAATATCTGTGCCATTAAATCTGTTTATTCTTACGATATTGAAGCTATCAGAATTGATTGCATATAAATAGTCTTCAAACACAGTTATACCGTAAAGATGTCTGGCCTGTAAAGAGGGTCAAAAATAACTTATGCTTTTTAATTATGCTGCCTACTACATGGAAGAAAAAACTGATTGCTATTTACCAGTGTAAAATATGTTCATAGTAACAGAGTCACAAGAACGTTACCATTTATCTCCTCTGAAAGAATTCCACATTTTACAAGTCTAATTTGGGTGTGTGTGGAAAAAGACACGAAACCTTAGTTGATATAGAGGTTCCAAATACATGGGAGAAATTTTTACTGATTTTTTTCATTTTTTTATTTTAAAGAGAATTTAAAAAAAGGAAAAAACAAAACAAAAAATAACAACGAAAGGATACAGAATTTCAAACCAAGGTGATAGGGAATTAGCAATTGTTGTTACATTGCACATTGTTATCTTCAAAGTAGTTGCTCAGATTACCAGATATAAGCATGCAAGATTGATCAAACAATTAAGCATTAACTGTTCCTTTCAATAAACCAATAGGAGTTAGTAGTACAATTATCTTAGCTATCTTGTGGAAGAAAATGTGTCTAGTAGTTACTTTTCAAAGACTAATGGGAACCAGACTTTCAAGTATAGTCGATAAAGTGCTTTGGCTCTCTTATATATAATTTGAGATATTTTTATGGGCTTGTTCATATATTCTTGGGCAATGTGGACACAACACAATCATGGATTGTTCATATACTCATGGGCAATGTGGCTGCTACAAAAGCATAGCTATGTATGTGAAAGGCCTAGTAAGAAAGTTGCTTTGAAAAATTGTATAAGTTCAGAATCTTATTTTTATCACAAATAATAGCTATCCTCATATTTGCTCAAACAAAGAAATAATAAAGAAATCACATATTTGAAATACATGCAAATAATATGTCCACATTTCATTTAGAAGTTATGCTATTTTTAAAGTCTATTCATTATGGAAAATGGAATTATTTGCTTTGAGAATGGTTAATGTTTATTGCTGTCTATGCAATTAAGTTAGAGGAGAAACTTTCTTCTTTGGTGAAGGTCATAGAGATCATGGGGAGGAATGGACATTCTAAAGTCATAGAAAGCTTCGAGTAGAGTAAAAGGAGAATGTTAAAAAGGTGCATCCTCTATACCTTGCCTGTTAATATTCTCGTACTTAATACTGTTCTGGTCCTGGGTATCATATCACTGGCAATTGATAACCTGTGAAAATTCTGGTGAGAAATATTTTCCACTATTCTAAGGTATTATAAATTGTACACTTTGCAGATATTTAATGAATGGAATGTGAGGAAGTATGTATGGTTTGACTGTAGAAAAAACTATCCAATATTTAATATCAATCAAGAAACCCAGGGGCTGGGGATTTAGCTCAGCAGCACAGCACCTGCCTGGCAAGTGCGAGGTCATGAGTTTGATTCCGGTACCGGAAACAAACAAACAAACAAACAAACAAAAAAATCGAGAAACTTAGCCAACTCTATACTCTAAGCAAAAGCAAGTAATGTGCCATTTTTCTAGGGTGTATGGCTCATTGTTTTTCTTCTGGTCTTTTCATGTGAGATAGTAATTGAAAATTGATGTTACTTGTCTTTTGATAATATCTAATTTCTTTTTATCTGCTCTAGAAAGGAGATGTAAAACATAATACGAATTCTTTCAACTTAAAGCTCAAATTTTCCTTTTTTACTATATATTACTCCATAGCAATGTATGCATTTATATGGTGGGGAGGAGCATGTGTGTTTATGAATATCATTTTCCATATCTTTGACATAGTCACAAAATATGCCAGTGGTCTATGTAAAAATTAGAAGTAGAAGGTCGGGGATATAGCTCAGTAGTACAGTGTTTCCCTTGGCAAGAGCAAGGTCCTGAGTTCAAGTCCCAGGACAAAAAAATTAGAAATAAAATGAACTCTTTCCTTTGTTATTAATCTAAAGCATGCTTTGCTCAAATTGTGGGGCCATTCTCATCAGAATCTGTGGTTATAATATACTCCTTTGCTTTCTTTCAGTTCACTTTCTAAGAGGAAAAGCATAGCTATACAGCAGACAACTGGTCATTTTATTTCTCATAATACAAGCACTTTAATGTCTGCTTTGTAACTATCTGCAGCAGAGGTGAGAGAATTGAGTGGTAGATACACCACTCTGCTTAATGCCTACATACTGCAAAAAAGATATATATACCTAGTGGTAAATTTAGCATGTGTTCAGGAAATACACAAAACATGGGCAATAGAACTGGGAAAAATAATATGAATACCATTAGACATTATAGAACTTTTTAAGTAGTCATGAGAATCAAGTAGAATTTGGATTTTTAGATTTTTAAAAAAATATATTATTTGTATAAAATGGAGTACTACTCTTCCATGAAGAAGGATACACTTGAGTCATTTGTAAGTAGACAGATGCACCTTACATGTACATCTGTTAAGTGAACAAATGTTAAGTGAAATAAATCAAGCGCACAAGTTTGGATATCACATAGTTTCCCTCACATGAGAAATCCAAAATATAAATAAAAAAGTGAAGATAGAAGATAAATAAAAGGAAATATGGAGATCCTTTTCCAAAGGGAAGGGCAAATCCAGGGACAAAAAAGTAATTAAAAATGCATAGAGCTTGTGAAAATGGAAAGAGGAACAAGAGCTGAAGGGAACAGAGAGGGTGGGAGGGACAGAGGACTGAGATGGTTCCCCTCTCTGCACAAACTCCCCCACAAGAAGGATAATCATCACTGCTGCAAACACGCATTCATAAAAAATTTTAAAATTTATCATGTGGAAAATCATTTTAGCTCCCTATCCTTGGTTCAAGATTTACTTTTCAATGGCAAATGCATACAAAAGAGGCGCACCATCATCATATTGGAAATTAAGTCCTCTAAAGGTCACACCCAAGGTCTGTCAATGAAACAAAATATTTTAGGACAGTTAAAGATGTGAGAGAAATGACTAGTCCCACTTATAATATTACATAGTTTATTTATTTTTTTTTTAGGTAGTCACATTTTTGCATTTGATTATATGTCAAGAAAGAAAAAGATTTCCTTTTAAAAGAAAGGATGATGACAATGTGAAAGTAATTTTAAAGGAAAATTACAGGATGTAAGTCTCTTGCATTGCAAAAGAAACCAAGAAGATTTATATATTTTAGCTCCACAGATGAAGAATTTCACATGCAATTTGGGCAATGAGATTCAAATGGATTTGAGAACATGTACTAGTGAATAAAGTTCATTTCTACTTAGAGAACTCTTTTCTGTTGACTGAGTGTTGTGTACAAAATTTTGTGATCCAATAAGGGGAAAGCTTAGCACAAGTGGGAAGGATTGTGCTCTTGGAAATTTCTACAGCATTCTCATTTTAGGAAGCACTTGAATAAATCTGAAGGTAAACTTAACCCAACCTGTTAAAATAATAAGCACATTTTTGAGCAGGCATTTGCTTTAGTTAGCAAACTATGTCCAGCGCCACATGGGACAGATGATAGTTCAGTTCCTTATGAATAAACTACTTAAATTAGTTTTTTCTCAAGCAGGTCATAACATCTGTCCCATTCTAATACTTTTATTTTCTTGCTAGTACAGCATTTTCCTCTGTTTTGTTTGTTGCTTTTGTTTGCTTATTTTCAACAGAGAGGAGAAGGTGTAAGAGACACAACGAACATCACAGTATCACTGTAAAAAAAAACCTTCCAGCATATAGGCAATAATTGCAATTTTTATAGCTGATTACAGCTTGACTTTCTAAGAAATTCTCAAATTCTTGTCTTTTTCATAACACAATGCCATCTCTTTTATTATCTTAGCTGAATTTTTTTAGCAAAATTGTACTTACTTTTCTGCCTTGAATGATAGTATGTCTCCTCTTTCCTTGATAGTCCACCACGCCGATGTAGTCCAAGTACAGATCTACCCAGTAAACCAGCTTGTTGATGAGGTCTAGCGTCAGTGCCGCCGGCTGCTCTGCCTTCGAATCAACGATCCTCGTTCTGTTCGCGCCGTCCATGTCGCATCTTTCCACTTTGGCAACGTTCCCGTAGTCGGTAAAGAAAAGTTTTCTGTTGAAAGAAAACTAAATGTTAAAATGGAGGGAAGAAAAAGCATATTTGACGGAGCCATCTGTAAAAACCAGAACTTTTCCTTCTAATGTATTTCAGTGGTTACATCTGTTAGCGTCTCATAACCATTTCCATGTAATATCCCTCATAAACAGAGAAATCTGCTAATGAATATTGCAGGGCATAAGGGAGCAGGTTAACCAACAACCATAAAATTCCTTCGGAATGGATGGTTATGGTGGGTTTATTTTTGTATTAGGAGAAATGTTTCTTTAAGCCTCATAGAGCTGATGCACGTTCACCACGTTCAGTGTAGGCTTCAGAACCGAGCCAAGTCACCGGGCCAGGGCACGTGAGCGATCAGGCTTTCTCTTTAACCTGCCTTCCAAATTGCATGGTAATGTCTGTCTCCTATAAAAGTTATTATGGAGGGCTCAATGGTGCCGCGAGTAGTACAGAATAGCAAACCTGGAGTGGAATTAAGCAGATGGGAAGGCAATGTGCTGTTTGCAGCATAGGAAATGAAACATAAATAACGCCCTTCTGCAGACCTATTCCACGTACTCCCAAATCCCAAACTGTCTGAAAGAAATGAAGGCCATTTTTCTCACTTTCTCTTAATAAATGTTGAACAAAGTAATGAAAAGCTAAGTTCACCTAGGAGATGAAAAATCCTTCTACTCAGGATTAACAGGGCCTGTCAAAAGGTTTAAATGTATCTCGAACACTTTAGTGTCTAATATTTGATTAGTATTCACTATGTTTAGTAAACACAAATCAATTTCAATTAACCTGACAATATTTAACAAAATTACCACTTATGAGACTGAACTGCATTTGCAAATAGAAGACCATCTTGCCTTGACTTAAAGATAATCCCAAGAATAATTCAATTTACAGTGACAGTAATATCAAGATTACCTAGACTATAGAATATTAGATTTTACAAACTTGAAGAATTAGCTTTTAGCTACTTTTCAAAAATTTTGCATTATCTAACAATAGGGGGTACCTTTCAAGCTAAAATCTGTTATTTAAACTTTCATATTAATTTAGCTCTATCTGCTATGGAGCACTTTGGTTCATTGTTAAACATTATACACTGTTATGTGATAGTACAAGACATTTTATTATGAGCATGAATTTCTCAAAATGTTATTGAAAAATCAATTCATCATAACAAATTGAATGTGACAATACTTTAGGTGAGGAACTGACTCTCCTAGTGAGCAGTAATTAAAAGGCCACATGATGTTTTGCTTCATTGTTATGCTAAATGTTTAGAACACTACTTGGCTTCCCCATCTCTCTGCCACTGTCTCTGCATTTCTCCCCCGCTCACTCCAGCCTTGAATCTGCTTTCTGTTTCTATTCTACTATTCCTGAATGGTCACTTGAAAAGTAATTTGTTCATAGCTTTTCCAAATGAAGTTTCTGAAAGGAATATTTCTCTTTTCCTGATGGGGGAACAGTGCCTGCTAGTCATACAGAGAGGTCTTTCTCACTCCATGTCATGGAGCTCTTCTTATTGTATTTCCCATTTCTATCAGTCTATTTCAAAAGGCTGAGGGGAGCTGAGGTGTAGATAGAGTGACTTGAAGCACGGAGATTGGAGATTCTGTCATGCTCTGCACGGTGTTGCATATAGAGATTATGTATAGACGTGAAAAGAAGCAGGCACTCGCAAATACTCACGGGGTGTTTGCATGGGGGTGTATGTCTGTAATCCCAGCACTGTGGGGGGCTGAGGCAGAAAGATCACTATTTCCAGGCCAGTTTTTTTTTTTTTTTTTGGTTTTTTCCTCCGGTACCGGGAACCGAACTCACGACCTTGCGCTTGCCAGGCAGGCGCTTTTGCCGCTGAGCTAAATCCCCAGCCCTCCAGGCTAGTTTGGACAAATTAACAACTCAAGAAGGCCCTGACTCAAAGTTTAAAATAAAAATAAGGTTGGAATTTAGCTTAGTTCAAAGGGACACATACACACACATGCATGCGCACGAACACACATGCACAAGGAAAATTGAAAAGAGGAAAGATAAGTATGGAGATAAAAACATCCCTGAATCCTCTTGAGATGACTCTATTGGATGTAATCCCAAAGAAACAAAGAGAAATGTGCCAATACAAGAAGCTGCAGGCCTGCTATGAAAAAGAGAATCACAGGAGATGAGAGGTTAGAGCAGAAGCGAGGTGAGGATAACACAGACATTCACAGAGGTCTGAGAGAAAAATTTCAGGATGAAGAATTACACTGGCTGACTAGGTCAATGAATTCACAAAGTAAGAAACAAATAACTGAAGGGGATGTCACTGAGTTTGACATTCATTGAAATAGTCATAACTTTTAGTACTTCTGTTTGAGGAATTTAGTTTTAAGGAGAAGTGAACTAGACAATGATGAAGAACAGCAAATTTAAATCATTCTTCCTGGAAGTTTTTCAGAGATATTGAACTACTATTGCAGGAATGATGCCAGAGGTTTACATGTGTATTCTAGGTCATAATATACCTGGTTGCAGGAATTGTTTGAATAAATTTTAGCCAACACGAAAAAAGTATATATATACATAATTTACCAAATGCTACTTTTTTAAGGTAAACACAAGGTAAACGCAAAATAAAATAACCACCACAAGAAAGAAAGAAAGAAAAAAAGAGAAAGAAAGAAGGAAAAAGAAGAAAGAAAGAAAGATTTGTGGCACTGAGCTACAAGAAAACAAGAAAGAGAATTCATTATTGTACTTCCAGCACATCACAGAACACCTGGTGACAAGAGGCAACTTAATAATTATTTTTTGCACTAATTTAAACCAGCCCAGGATTCAGAATCCTATGGTGAGCTCTGTTCAATTTTAATTGAAATGTTCTCAGCATAATATATGTAGTACCATGGCGACAAATTTATAATAACTACCTATGGACTCATGATTAAGCACCTGTTTCATCATTTGCTTGTTTTCTTTTGTGTTTAATTTTGCTTTTAAAGTTTCCTCTCATAGAGAAAAGCTTCGCTAAGGCACCGCTTAACTGAAGCGTAACCAAACTGTAATTGGCAAACACAAGCAAGGTAAAGTGTCACTGGTTTGAAAGACCAGTTTTCTTATCTAGAAGATATATGTTCAAATCTTAGGAAAAAGTAAATAACGCTGTAGGAATCTCATTATCCCATTAACCTCACAATTTGCTGAGACAGAGTAACAGATGATCTCTGCTTTATAGATGAACCAAGTTCACTGTCCATATGGTTAGCCATTGTCAGAGCTAGAGGTAACAGCAAGCATTCTTTTGGACTAAGTACTGTGAAAGAATGTCAAAGTTACAGAGATGTTGCAAGAAATTGAATAAATATCACCTGTTCTTTATATTTTACCCCACCAGCTATTTCATGCACTGTTGAAACCACCTGAGAGTAAATTTCAGACATCCTGACCCTTACAATTAAATATTTCAGCACACATATTTTTGGGTTTTGTTTTTGTTTTTGTTTTTGTTTTTTTTTCCGTCTTTTTGAAACAAGGTCCCCCTATGCAGTTCAGACTCTCCTTGAACTCACTTTGTAGCCCAGATTGGTCTCTAACTTGCAGCAATCCTCCTGCCTCAGCCTCCCTAGTGCTAGAATAACAGACAGGTACCACCACACCTGTCAAGCATACATAGTCTAAGATCAACAACAAGGATATTCTCTGGCTTAACTACAGTGCATTTGTCATAATCAATAGTATATGTACATTTTCCTCACTTAAATTTTTGCTACTTATATACAATGTTCTTTATAGGAATTTTATTGTTGTTATTCAGAATGCAATCCACCATCATATGGTATTTTGTCTTGAGACTCAATCTGGAGCACTTTTCAGAATTTATTTGTTCTTCTTGATGTTAATATTTCTAAAGGCAGATACGGGCTGTTTTCAAGAATATCTGAACTTGGCATTTGCCTGTATTTTTTTTCCTATTTAGATCACATTATGCCTTTTGACCTGAAATGTAATCATTTTACCCTTTACTGTCAATGTTCCTCAGATGTAGGAAAGACTGAGGAAGCCTACAATTCACTCCAGAAGTTGTATGAAGTGGAGCTCGAGATGATGCCTTGAGATCCCATTTATTTGGTCTCATTCAGTGGTTTTTGAACGTTTAACTACCTTAACACCCGTTGTTTTTTGGTACCAGGAATCGAACTCAGAACCTTGTGCATGCCAGGCAGGCCCTGTGCCACTGAGCTATATCCTTGGCCCTCTCTTAACATTCTCAGTCTCTTTGCAGCACAGCTGCTCTCTGGGAACCAAGTATCCTCTGGATCATTTAGACAGCACAGCCCCGCCCCCTCCATACCTTTCAGCCTATGAAAATCAGGCTGGTTAGTAGAGACCATTTCCAATTGTGTCCCATGCTCCCCTTTCTCAGTATCTCAGATTGTAATTTTGGTACTTGTTCTTTAACTCTTTTAACTTATGATATCACTAAGCTTTTATTACGAAGCAAAAAGAGACAATTAGCTTGAGATTGCTACCTCTTTTTTGCTTTCTCTTTCTCTCATTCATTCATTCTCTCTCTCCCTCCCTCCCTCTCTCTTTCTCTCCCTTCCTCTCTCTCTCTCTCTCTCTCTCTCTCTCTCTCTCTCTCTCTATTTCTTTCTCTCATTCTTTTGGGACCTGGGGAATGAACTGAGGTATACTGAGTTACATCCTAAAGAGTTTTCTCGTGTGTGTAAGTATGCTTTTATTTTGTAAATATTATTTTGAGTTATTAAATTTCTCAGGCTGAGCTTCAGCCTTTTTAATGCCCCACCAAACCTCATTTCTACATTTATTTTTGAATGTCATTCAATTCAGTTGTGACTGACACAAATTCTAAATTAAACAACATTCCAACTATTGTTTCCATTGCTAACATGAAGAACTATTAACTCATAAAGGAATGGAATATATCTTTCAAATTTCCAATTTATTCATCCAGATCATTATTCTGATAGCTTTTCTAGAAAAAAATATTTTAT